TCTAATTTTATCTGATAAGATTTTTTTTTTTTTTTTTTTTTCAAATCAGCATCGCAATTAAGAATATAGACAAAAAATATCACATATTTCATTGGTAAGTAATATCAGTATCTATGAATTGAAACTTCGGGTATGAAATAGTTGTCCGATATGGGGAGTGTGGGAGTCGAGTGGAAGTGTGGTCATTCCCCATAGGCTTTTGGGAGACCCTGCTATTGTCTTTCCTTTTACCTGTCTGTTGTGTATATTAATTTAATGTTTTTTTTTTTTGTTTTTTTTTTAATAGTTTTTCCATTGTACAAGTATCCTTTACAGATAATGAGATACAATAGTATATTTATTTCAACAAAAAAGATTGAATGCTTCAATGAAGGAATGAATGAATTAATTAATTAATTAATACAAGTAATATTGTAAATTATTGTTCTATTTGTTTACTTGGAAAATTATACTGTGTATATGAGATTTAGTTTTTTTTTGGCAATGTTGCTTTTTATTCAAATAGTTATAATTTTTCTCTTTCATATAAACATACTTTTTTGAAAACTAAAATAATTATTATCTTTAATACGGTACTTATGGAATTATAGATATGTCTATTTTGTGATAGATTAAAAAAAATAACTATAGCTTAATTATTATATTTCAAATATTGAAAAATTGTATTATCTTAATATATTTCCTATTTAGTAGTTCTTGTTTTCCTAAACACCTAATTATTTAATGACATTTTTTACTATAAATTCCATTCAAAATAATGTCAGTATTTATGTGATTATTTATGGTAGTCTATGGACACAGACATTAACATTATTTTATTAGCAGTCATTATTTTTTTTTTTTTTTTGCCAACTGATGCAACTGTTCCGTACAGTACTGCTGAATTGATCAAAGTAATAAATCATGCAGCAATACGTGGTGCCATGTGAGTTATTGAAAATGCTTTATGAGACCCTGAAGGTAATATCTCCAAGGTGAAAAAAACGCGCATGTGTATAACTGAATCTCCATGGTGACATCATGAAGCTTTTGTATCCATAGCAATGCCATGTAAATATTAACTTCATGGTCTCCATAGTAATATGGAAATAACCTCAGTGAGACACCATGTTCCCCTGTTGTAACATACTTTTGACTCCATGTTATAAACGTATTTATGGTTATGGTATATTTCGTGTCCGCGGTGATAGTTACCGTCTCCATGGTAACACGAAGAAGTCCTTCGTGACAGGGGTTGTGTCTATAATTATGATACAGTATACCTATGGTTACTGTGCTTTTGTTGAAGAGTTGCATTGTGGGTAATACTATGTCACATGGATCGAGACAGTTACAGTAACTACACAATATTGAATAAAGCCATGACGATATTGAATGCGACTTCGTATTTTCTTGTTTCTTTCTCTCATACATACACACACACACACACGCACACACACACACACACACACACACATATATATATATATATATATATATATATATATATATATTTATATATGTATATATGTATTTATATATTTATATATATATATATAATATATATATCAGAATCTAAAACCTCAAAGATGTAATTAAATTATTGAATTGCAACTTAAAGATTTAAGGCTGTTGAGAAATCTTGGAAAAAAGCCATTTCAACAAAAATCAATTACTTATTTAAAAGGTCAAATAATTTATTTTTCAATCGATGATGAGGTACTTTTTGCTATAAATTTCAACTAGATGTATTGAGCAATTTGGCGATAAAATAAATGTCTTGTTCAAACAAGTTAAAGATTTATTTAATAATACAAGGTTTTAATTTATCATACAGTGAGCAAAAATGTAACGATTTAAGCATCACACACTTGCTCAAATCCAAGAGCAGTCGGCAAATCATAGAGAATGGGCACAATTATCTCTATTCAATTTAATCGTAAAGTCGATGGACTTCCACGATCATGAGCATGTTGCTAAAAAAAAAAGTCACTGAACAAATCAGTAAGTGGTGATAATTTTGGTTTGGACCTCTGTCGGCAAACTTGAGCCACACATCAATGCCTAAGCTATCTCGTTCATCACCCCAATCCCTAAGCGCATACACACGTCTATGCATACACGTCTCTCTTTTGGTCTTCGGCAAATCTGTCAAGAAATTCTTGTCGCTTTCACTGAAAGCCTAACGGACAATTACGAACACAATTGCAACATCCTTCTCATTATTCATTAACAATATCCCCACTCCTACTATAGTAACTCCATTTTGAAGCATTTAAATTAATCTCACCCTGTCAATAATTTAAAAATCTGATGCATGAATCATATGATAGGCTTAATACAAAATCCACTTTTAAAATTAACTCTTACGAAAGGTAGAAAAGCTCACAAGCGTAAAGTTAAGCTTTTTTGTTACCATATACACGGTACCTATCCATGTGAATTATAACCATGATTAAAGGCCTAATGATTCCCATCAACATCCGTTGATTCTTCCTTTGATCATGGATATATCCTCCAGGCTTCGATTCCTG